AAACCTTGACCTCCAGGTTCATGAGTCGATGCTCAATCATTGAGCCAAGCCAGCCGGGCTGGAAACACCTGCTCTGGGAACCCTGAGCCACCTTGTGAGAAGAGTGACTACAATTTGCTGAAGAGATCACAGGAAAAGGCTGAGACTCTGTGAAAAGGGAGGGGCATAGCTGAGACTGACCTCCTCTCAGTCACGGCCAAGGCACCAGGCATATGAGTGAACCTGTGTTGGGTCCTTCAGCCCAGGCAAGCTCCCAGATGAATCTCATCAAATGACCCCAGGCGATGTGAAGGGCAGACACAGGAGCCTTGACACACGAAATCAATAAAATGTCATCTTAAACTACTAAATGTTGGGGTGATTTGTTAAGAGCAATGCATAATCAGAACACCTTTGTTAACATTTTAATTTATTTGATCAAAACCTTTCTTCACTTATTTAATGCCAGTGAAAGATTTCTTAGTTGCATTTTGGAAAACATTAATCCAGGCAACAGATCCCCCCATCCGTAAACTCCCATTCCTTTTGCCCCTGTTTTCAACCTTGTTTTTGCTTATTCATATCACTGTGGCTACAGATTCTGATTTTAGCTAATTCTGTCCTTGAGTCAGAGTGTTTATATGTCTAGCAGCCCAAGCGATTCCCTATCAAAGGTAGCTTAGATGGCCTTATTCCAAGACATTGTGTCAGTTCTAGTAACTCAGATTCTGTATTTTTCTTTTGCACTCTCCTCCCTCCATACTGTATGCAGTCCTAATAACTGGGTCTTAACCTGTTCATTCTGCTTAAGCACCTAATTTGGTAGCTTTTCTAATACTCCACTGTAAATTGAGATCTTTCCTGGTTTTCATTTTCTGTTAAGTACCATAACAAATTGCTACACATTTAGCAGCTTAAAACAGTACCAATTTATTCTCTCACAGTTGGACAGCTGTCTAGGCTCAGCATGGCTCAACTGTGTCTCTGCTCTGGGTGTTACCAGGTGGGAATCAAGATATCAACAGGACTGCCTCCCTTTCTGGAGGCCCTGGGGGTGAATCTGATTCCAAGCACCTTCATGTTGTTGCAGTCTAGTTCCTTGCATTTGTAGAACTGAGATCACTGTTGCTTTGCTGGCTGTTGGCTGGGGGTTGTTCTCAGCTTCTAGACACCACCTGCATTTCTTGGCTTGTGGCTCCATATCTCCATCTTCAAAGCCAGCAATGGAGTACAAAATGCTTCTCATGCTTCAGAATGCCTCTGACTTCTCCTTCTGCCCTTCTCTTCTGCTGTTAAGAGTTCATATGATTACATTGCCCCCTCCCCTCTCCAGTTAATCCAGGAAAACTTCCCATTTTGAGGTTTGTTGGTTTAGTGACATTGATTCCCTCTGCAAAATACTTTCACAGTAGTATCTGGACTAGTGTTTGATTGAATGATGAAGGGATGAGAATTATGGAGGAAACTCTTTGGAATTCTGCCTTCCACCACATATCATCTCAGGAACTGAAGATCTATCTTAAAATCAAGCCCTAACGGGTTTGGCTCAGTGGATAGAGCATCAGTCTGCGGACTAAAGGGTCCCAGGTTCGATTCTGGTCAAGGGCATGTACCTTGGTTGTGGGCACATCCCCAGTAGGGGGTGTGCAGGAGGCAGCTGATCAATGTTTCTCTCTCATCAATGTTTCTAACTCTTTATCCCTCTCCCTTCCTCTCTGTAAAAAGTCAATAAAATATATTTACAAAAAAATCAAGGAGCTGAGTTCTTGCTACCACCCATCTCTTCTGGTTTCTCTACTTTCCTGGCCTAACCCTGGTTTGCTTTTTGTCTTAAATGTCAGTGTCACACATTTAAAATATTTTCATTATCCCATTTTGTCCACTTTCAAAGACACTGTTGACCATTTTCTGAACTCCCTTCATAATGATTATCTGCCTGGATTGCTATCTATTCATTCATTCATTCATTCACTCATTCATACATTGTAAAAGTTCTTACTAAGTACTTATTATATGTCAGGCACCTTTTAGGAGCTGGCAATATGGCAGTGAAAAAAAAAAAGAAAACAAAACAAAAACAGAGCCCTCAAAATATATATATTTGTGTTCATTTATGCATATATGTGGTATGAAACATAAAAAATGAGCATATAATGAAATTTCAAGTGTTAAGTATCATGAGGAACAATGAAGGATGAATGGTTCTAGTCAGGGATGGCCTCTCTGAGAGATAACATTTAAGCACAGGTGTGAAGGGAGAGAAGAAGCAAGCCTCTCTCTGGGGAAGAATGTTCTAGGCCAGTGGTTCTCAACCTGTGGGTCGCAACCCCTTTGGCAGTCGAACGACCCTTTCACAGGGGTCGCCTAAGACCATCCTGCATATCAGATATTTACATTACGATTCATAACAGTAGCAACATTACAGTTATGAAGTAGCAACGAAAATAATTTTATGGTTGGGTCACAACATGAGGAACTGTATTTAAAGGGCCAGAAGGTTGAGAACCACTGTTCTAGGCAAATGGTTCTGGACAGGATTCCTGCTTAGTACAGTAAGTAAACAGCAAGAAGATAAAGCAGCTGGAGCCCTGGGCCAGGGGCAAGAAAATAGGAGAGGAAGTCTGATAGGAGGCGGGACCCTGGTCCCAGGGGGCTTTAAGGTCATGGAATGTACACTTTTTCATTTTGACTAAGACAAGAAGGGATGGGAGACATTTTTGCAAAGGAGTTAAATGATCTGACATGGCCCTACTATGTATGGCTGCTGAAGAAAACAGGAGGCCCTATTAGGAAGCATTTGCTGTTGTCCATGGTGGAAAGATTGATGGCTTGGACTACGGTGGCAGCCGTGCAGAAGCTAAGAAGTGGCTGTTCCGCATAACCTTGAAGGAAGGGACAGCTACTGCTTATTCCTGTACACGAATATTCTGTCTGACATACATGCAGTGAGTCACGGCTCCAGTCCCTTCTTCACTAATATAGGTTCTTAGGTCTTTTGTATTTTCTGCCTGATCCTTTCCAGCTCTCAAATCTGAGCTCCCATCTCAAAACTGCCCACAACAATACAACTAAGATCTGAGGAGCAAGACAAAACATTTTTAATGGGCAAATAGAGCAGAGGAGCTGGAGAGTAAAGAAAAAATGTGGATACATTCCTTACAATGTCTAGGAGGAACCAGACTTACCAGTATTTGGAAGATGAATAAATTAGTGTTCCCAACTGTAGAGATACATTTTTTTAACCAAAAACTAGTTCAGCCACTGTTTTGTGATGAGTCTACTTACAAGCAACTTAAAAAGATACTTTCCTGCTGTCCAATATGTAGATGTTTTTAATAATAAATAACAACAACAGCAAAAGGGGGGTAGCTATAATTCAAGACAAACACCAAAGAAAGCTGAAATAGGGAGACAAAATGATGTAGGCGTCTAGAAGTGGAAAGAGAAATCTATATTACAAATATTATAACTTCATGTTATAAGGAAGTTCTCAGAGGGTTTCTTATCTTCCTCCTTCCCTGGGAACTGCCCAAAGGGTTAATCATTCTGGGATTTGATTCTATTAACCTATGAGAGGGCCCTGGAGCGGAATTAAGAAAAAGCAACACCCCTTCGCTTGTGTCTACATTAAGACCCATAATATTTCATTCTGTGGGAAAACATAAGTTTAATTGAACAGATTAAACAATAATATATCAAGGAACACCCTACACAATCTAGGAATTAAAGACAGTTTTGACTTTCCAAACATCTCTAGTTCCCTTTCTAACCATCTTCTTTGTTCATTCTACTCCAAATCTAAAATCTACCCCCAGGGCCATTTTTATGCCTTGGACCTTGTCTGAACTAGCTCATTATTAGCTGTGAAGGAGTTTGTAAGGTTAAATACCATAAGTTTTTGTTTTAATCCTTCCGAGAAATTTACTAGTTTTCTAAATCAAATTCTCTCTCCTTAAACAACAGTCCTTTGTACATGCTAAGCTCTTGCCTCTAGTCTCGCTGCTTTGCCTGATTCTCCAGAGTTTCCTTGCCATTTTTATTGGAATTTTAGGGCCCCTCTTGGTTTTACACAGGAGGCCCACACATTAGGGCATCTAAACACTTCCCTCATTTCTCTAAACTAACACAGTCCTCCACCCATCTTACAATCCTTCCATCAGGCTCACAGTCTATAAGGATTTAAGACTCTCAGGGCTTGAAAAAGCTAATAATTGAAAATAAATGTCTAAAGTGCTTATAACAGTGCCTGGCACTTGGCAACAGCTAGATGACCATTAACAGTTATTATGATGTGATAGTCATCCATGATATTGGACTCTTAAGACTAAGGTCAAAATGGTCATGGAGAAAAACATGTGGGAGAAAGTTGGTGAGGTATTTACCTCTGGGCCTGACCCAAAGAGATGTTCAACAAATCTTAGCCATTTAGGATGGTTCTTTATGTATGATATTTTTAAAAGTATAGGTGTTTTAAATTATTTCTTAAAAAGTAGACATCGTACTAAGAAGAAAAAATACACAATTCTGCAATATTATTTGATATGAGAGAGAAATGGAATGTTTGCAATGCATACTGAATAGTTAGGATTTCAGGTTTAAGAGGAATTGATGTCCTTAGGAACCTAATACCACATATTTGTGGTAATAAATAGGGTTTTACTAGCGAATGTCAATTCTTTTTGAATTTCTATTCATGCATAGCTAGAAAAAGTGTACCTTTAAAAAAGTAGGTGATCCAGGTAGATTATGTTGCTTGCTCTTTTAATTAAATACCAACATTTTGATACTAGAAAGACTTAGGAGATGGCAGCCTGGTAAGAAGACTTGAAGCAATAGTTCCATAGTACTTAAAGACAGAGAAAGTATTACTTGTCTGTGCTGAAGTGGATGAGGGATGGTAGAAATTATAGAAAGCCTAGAACTTCCTTAAGACCTAGCTGGGTTCTACTGCTATTATAAGAATATTTAAAATAAATGGACAATAGTTTCCAGCTCTAAAACATATTATATGCAGTACATACTTTACCCTAGTTTACAGTTTACATTTATTATGCTCACTGAAACCACAAAGCCAATGTTTAATTTTACAGTTTGAAGTCACACATAGGGAAATGCTTTACAAAATAGGATATTGTTCCTCCATGAAAAATATTACAGTATAGGTCCCAAATGACTCAGTTCAAGTGCTTTACCCGAATAACAGAGCTGTTGTGGAATGCAGGCTATAGGGCACAGTAATGCTTTCAATAGTCGATTCCGGTTTGACATTTGCCAAAGCTGAAGAGACATTTTAAATGAGATCTGTCTTAGATGTCAAAGATTTTTTGCTTTTTCAACTGCATTATATTTACAGAAAGATGTCATTACTTCTGGAAAAACAGGGCTCATAAGCAGTTTGCATTTTACTGCTTATATACATGTAAATCTTCAATGTTTTATTCTATCTTGCAAGCACCTTTCAAGAATTAAAAATACTCAGCTCTACCTACTTAGATTTATTACCTGAATATATTCACAGACTTGAATACAGAAATCAAATATTTGTGCCACTGCTCACATCAAATTGAACATATTTCTACAACCTGTTTAGTTATCGGCAATCTATTTACAAAGCATGTGCATGATTTTCTCTGACAAATATGTGATACTAACATGTAAGCAGTGTTTGTCAACTCCGACATTTATGTCATGCTTAATGTATAATGCAAACACACCATCCAGAGGACTAGGCATTTCTTAGTCAAAAGTCTAGTCTCACAAAGTACACAGAGCGTGCTCTTGTCTCAATATGCTCTCGGTGTGGGGCGGAGTGTTTCTAATATGTTGTGAATTATTAAAGCAAAGACTGAGATACAGCAGCTAAGTGTTTACTATAGACGAAAAATGTTGCAAAGCTTAAACAAAGTCAGGTCAAATATACATAGACATTTGTTTGTGTCTAAGAACCAAATAAGTGTGTTGAAAAGGAATGTTTTAGACGAATTCTGATGTCTTAGTAAAGGATGAAACATGACTTCTAAAAGTCAGCTCCTCCAGCTTGCTACTCTTCAAGTTTTGATGTCACCCGAAACATCTTCGATGTACATACAGCTTGTGTCACTGTACCCTGCTGATCAGAATGACCATTAGATGCAACTCCCTTAACTTTGAGTATCAAGGTATGCCCAGCCTTGACAAAAACAGAAAAGCCAAAACAAAACTTAGTTCTTTCTTGAAAACTGAAACATCACGTAGAATAAAATAGTAACTCAGAAATACCACATTTGATAGTTGATCACTGAAGATGTTAGCACCTCGATAGAAAATTATCATTGTTTATTAGATGTGCCAAAGGAAAATGGAAAAAAAAGAGAATGCCCTGTTTTATTTCTAAATCACAGTTTTCTCACAGTGTTAGACTTGGTTCACTCTGATGTGACAGTGCCTTATAGGGAGAGGGGCCACTATTGCTTTTTCATCCACCTATGACTGTCTGCATGGACCAGTTGGAGCTATGGCACAAAGACCACAAACAGCAGACTTATTGCTAAAGTGCTAGTATATCAGGAAGGTGCAATTAACTGTGTTAGCTAGCACATACATTTCAATCCTATTCTCTTGTAAAATCAGCATCTTCTAACAAAATATGTATTTTTCCACAAAATCTGTATTGAACACCATGTCTATTTCTTTGTATTATTTCACTAATGCATGGGTTTAATTTCATTATGTTCCCATACATTAATTGACCAGAACACAATTATGAGTTATCGATTGATGTGTTTCATGATGATATAACTTGAGAAGTCATTTCTGTAGTTCCTGCTAGCAGGAAGCTCTTAGAAAGACTGCTTTTTTTTCCAGTGGACTAGTGAGTTAAGTTGATCTACTTGTTAGACAATCTAAAACGACAGGTTGTTGGTGAATGAAAAAAAATAATAGAGAAAACATCCAAGTTCCTTTTCTGCGTGTCTAAATGATAGATCACCTTGACCCAGAACTTGGTTCTATTACAGCTTTGGATCCTCATTTCTGTACTCATGGTTATTCATTTATTTTGTAGCTTTGAAATGTTAAAAATATAAGGTATTCTTATGGTCTCAAGTTTAATTATAAATAGGGTGGTAGTATTCACCAATCCTGCCAATGAGATTTCACACTCAGCCACAAACTATCAGCAAAATTTGGTCATTATCACATTCAATCTTATTTCACAAACAGTGAACTTTAAGTCATGGCACAAGTCCTGAGCTTTGTTAAATTTGGCTGCTATCCTCATCTAAACCACAACAAATGTCCCTGATAATATGGAAGGAGTCAATGGGAAAAACATTAGAGCCAGAGCTTGATCTGGTCAATTGTGTGTCCAAGGATGCTTTGCCTTATTGCTGTGACCAGACTGTGAAGTCATAGTCAGGGGTAAGCTGATGTGACCTGAGAGGTCCCTGCCTGTCCCAAGCCCTGTTATCACTCCATGAGAGACATTGGTAGGAGTAAAACGTCACCCTTTATCAAATTAGACCCCATATTTGTAGAACCAGTTAGGACTGCTAACAGTGGAGTCAATTAAATCCAATTTATTTACTCTCATCTACAGAATCTATAGATTCTAGAGACTAAGTGATATTAATTTTTAAAGCAGCAAAAGGCAATATTTGGTTTTATTATCATTGATATCACTTGGAGGTTGTGTGTATACAACTTTCATCAACAACTCTTTGTCCAGGTTTATCAGTGAAATGATAGACCTGATTCTCAACTGTGTCTCAGCTTCAGTGGGAAGCTTCCAGGTTATCTATGTACCCAAGTTTAAAACTTGGACCAAAGTTACTTAAATAAGTGTTTGTTTTTATTTTTGACTTGGAAAAATCAGTATTTATGGAACCCAAAAGACTTGTTAATATAACTACAACTAATGAACACTACTGGTCATGAAATATTAAATTAATGTTCTTAGAAAGGAAAGCTATAGTATCAGAATAAAGAGGCATGAGGAATATATACATATACACCTGTTTCACACAGAAAGCTCTCTGTAAAAAAATACAAAAGCAAACAGTGCTGTATATTATGTAAACTCACAAAGTGTACTTCATACACAAACATGAAGCATAAATTAAAAAAGAGGACAACAGCAAAACATTTTAAATATAGAATTTGCACATATTTTTGTTAAATAAGAATAAATAATTTTATCACACAAATTCACATACCAGTTGCAAAAACAATAAATTACTTTTTTTTCAGTGCTGCAACTTTGTTTGTTTGTGATTAATCCCTTAATTCTTAGTTTAATGTGATAAAACTGTTTCCACAGGAAGGCAAAGTAAATTGAATTCGTTGAATAAATTCAACCAATGCCCTTAAGTCCCTAAAAAACAAGGCAGGGCTTAATTTGACCTTTACTGTTCTAGAAGAAATAAATGCTATTTTTTTTTCTGGGCTACCTTTTATTTAATAAAACTTAATCTGGACTGTTTAGTTTATGAGTGAGGTTAAGTTCTTACTAATCTGAGCATTTTCAGACAAACTTTTTTAGGAAGCAGCCTCTAGCATCACGAATCCCAGATTCTTTATTCAATATGCAACTGCCATAAGTGAAAGGAATAGTCCTAAGTCAAACTGGACTGAACTAGGTTGTGTTATAGAGGATTTTCCCTTTGCTTATCATTCCTTATATCCATCAAACACTCAATTTATCTGACTTCAGTTTCCAGTCTATATCACTTATATCAGGAGTTTAGACATACATTCCTTAGTCAATCTATTGATACTCATGTAAAAACAAAACAACAACAAAAAATAAACACCAAAAAAATAAAATAAAGAAACTTCCTTAAAATCATGGAATAGTGGTTTATTCATTCTAAGCTTTCTAGGATTGTTCAAATCAAAAGTGTAAAAGTTCATTATTTGGGGGGAAATGAATCATTGATAAATCGTATTAAAAATCTATGAATCCAGTATAGACAAGCAGAGTAGGAGACAATCATGTTTGCTCTTCAATTATCTTTTAATGTTGCCGTCAATATACCCACAAAAGATAAAATCAAACTTTGTCAAAATTGAATTACTTGATTAAAATTATTTTGAAATTTGTAAAAAATAATGTTGGCCTCTCTAATAATTCTCTCTGCATAGTCAAATGGTCAGTGTGATTTTAATTTTTTTCCTGACTACTCTGAATAGTTTTGTTCCCTGTCCCTGATATCTGGTTGACCTCCATCAAATGTAGGTTACCTGGCTTGTATAGGCCTCATTTCTCCAACTGATAATTTATTAAGAAAATATTACCACATCTAAAGCAAAGTCAGTTTATAAAAATCCAAATGATGGCGATCAGTTTTGTAAAATAATTATTTCTTCTACCAAATAATTTCTTAAGAAAATACTTAAAACAGTGAGACCCACTGAAATGAATGTGATGTAGCAAGATGAATTACATAATTATTTTATATTAAAAATATCTTATAATAAAAATAAACTCTCATGAGCTTAAGGGAACTCAAACAATGGTCCCCTAATATCCTTATATGCAAATCTTCACAATAGGCACATTTGGTATTATTATTATACAATTTTATAAAAACAATTGGCTTTGTGATATTTCACAAAGAAAACAAAATCCAAATGAAATGAAACACTTCAGATTTTCTGAGCTATGGGGTGAAGGGATACAGTTTACTATCTAAAAAGAGATTCCTGGCATCTGATTGCAAAAATTTTCCATGTCTAACTATTAAAACTTACAACCTGTCTAGACAGGCTATGAAAATAAAAGCAACACACTTCTCAAAAATCATCATATTTCATCACTTAAACACGTACTTGTACAACCAAATGCTTTCCAATTGGGAAAAATCTTAAGTGCAATATCAGTATACTTGGATTTTTTTTTAAATGCAAGAAATTATTGCCTATATGGTGTGGAAACAGTCTTATTAATAACCACTTTTTTTTTTGCACTAGCCACATTAATGGTAATCACTTCTAGATGTAGCTAACTACCAAGTGATCTTTAATATTCCTATTAAACTAAGTCAACAAGAAGTAGAAAACCTTGACGATCTCACCCAACCTTTGAACAAAACAAATACGCAAAAACAAACACATTTTTAAAGGCTTGCTGGTAAGAGGCATACCAGTAGTGAGAGTGCTGAATGTGATTAGAAAACTCTTTGCTGGGTGTATTTCATATATATTACACATTGTGAGATACCAGATGAGAGCCACGGAAAGGGAAAGCAATTGTGAAAATATACATGGAAAATATGGTGGAGTGTGATTTTTTCCTCCTTTTAAATTCTAACAGGAGGGAACTAATTTTTAGACTCGTGAATACCAATAACATACACACACGCAAACACTATTTCTACAACCTAATGATGCAATAATTTGGCTGTCTGCCTGAAAAAAATACAGGCCATCAAATGTTTAAGCAGATGGACCCGTGTATGTATTTAAATGACTAGATACACTGAGATCCTTTTCCTTTTCGGAATTTCTAGAAGATGCTTGCCGTCAAAATGATTTTTGACTAAAATGTGATCTCCTGTTGTCTGAAAGTTTACTAAGTCTTATTAAAACAGCAGCAAGGTCTTAAATTTCCAGTAAAACATCCACAGCTCTTTCCAGAAACTGGAAGGAGTTGAAATAGCTGCAGACCTACTTTGGTCAAGCACTTTTTTTTTTTTATAGAAATATATATATATATGTACATATATATTTTTTAATAGAACCAAGTGATATAAAGTGACATACCAAGGGAGAATGTATTTACAAACAGTAAAAAGAAGCTACTGTGTATTGTGGGTGAAAATGACTACAGTGCCTTTGAAGACATTCTGTAAGAGGTAGGTGACAAGGGGGAGACTCTTGTTCTGCCTTCTTCAAATGTCGCCTGATTCTACATTCATCATGTTTGTTCATTCTCGTAGGCCCAGGGGATGTTGACCAGCTCCCGAGTTTTTTCTGTATTCCGGGGTCGCCACTGTCCCACGACATGGTGCACACCGTCGTCTGTCGCAGATTCTGCCCATAATTGGACCCCTGCTGGCAATGACTCTGAAGCGTGACCTTCTGTGCCCGAGGCGGACCTCCTGCCCACCAGGACTGATGGGCGATGACTCATCCAGTTAGCTCTGCATCAGAGCAGGCCCGCAGGCTAGCATTTCTTGAGCAGACACTGCTTAAACGCGGAAGGCCTCTGGGAGAGAAGACATCCCTTCGCTAATTTGCGGTTCCCATCCTGGCACTGCACCGTCCGGGTGTGCCAGCCCGTGTCACAGGACCGAGAGCAGGCGAGCCACGGGCCCGTCACCCACTGCAGCTGCGGGGCGTGCGAGCCCACTTTATTGCTGCCGTGGTTAGTCACAGAGTTTCCTTTCAGCGTGGACTTCTTGGGAACAAAAAAGCTGTAACGGACATCGAGTGCTTTCGTCGGGTCTGTCGCAAGAATCTGCACGATGAGAATTTCCTTGGTGGCGGCGTAGCCCATCCCGTGCAAGAAGTCGTCCCGGTGGCTCCAGCCGCTGTAGTTCATGACCGTTCCGTTGAGGTCGACGATGGTTTCCGAAGTGGAGATCATGTACTTGCCGTTGATGAGGTACTCACCGTTTTTCTTCTTCAGGGCTAAGTAGGCAGTGAATCTGGTCTGGTCTTTGGCTTTGAACTGTCGGACTTTTATGTGCGTTGCCCCTTCGGGGATCCTCACAACGTCAGTGTAACCCTTACTGGAAGCAGGAATGTCCACAGGGGAGACGGAAAGAGAGAGGGAGAGAGAAAAAGAAACAAACACTTAATAAACGGATAAACCAAAAGAGATTCTCTAAAAGTCTTACCTTAGAAAAAATCTTACCTTAGGGTAACACAAAGTTTCAATGTATTTAAGAGTTTACTTTAAAATTGGTTTCAAAAATTATTATTTTTTTGCCCTGGCTGGTGTTTCTCAGTGGTTAGAGCATCAGCCCGTGCACTGAAGTGCCTCGGGTTGGATTCTGGTCAAGGGCATGTACCTGGGTTGCAGGTTCAATCCCCAGTCCCAGCTGGGGTGTGAACAGGAGGCAACCAATCGATGTGTCTCTCTCACATCAATGTTTCTCTCTTTCTCTCCCCCTCCCTTCCACTCTCTCTAAAAATCAATGGAAAAAATACCCTCTGGTGAAGATTAACAGAAAAATAAATAAAATTTAATTTTCTTTAAAAAAATAGAATTGATGTTCACAATTAGGGTAATGTCAGGTAGTGGCTATCCTAAATGAAACCTTTAAAACCTGCCTTTGTTTTAAAAATGTATACTCACTGCACTTAAAAATTTACAAAACATAACACATCCTTATTAAATCCTGTCATCTTTACAAAGCTCCTGGATACTCTTCTGGAACAACCTGGGATAAATGTAAACACAAACTCACAAAAATCTGCCCTCAATCTCCTAGAAATCTTTAAATTAACTTGTTTACATATCAGAATCACTTGGGGATCTTTAAAAAATGTCAATCCCCAGGCCTCAGACCAGTTCAATCTCTGCCCTTCAGGACAGGACAGAGGCAGCAGTGACCTGGAGCCCCTCACGTTGTTCCAAATGTGCAGATTAGTTGGGGAATGAGTTTCACAGACTAGAGACAGGGTGGAGGCTCTGCTTCCCTTTCTACTAGAACTCTGGATTCACTGGGTGACCACTGCTTACGAGTATCATCAAAAGAAAAAAAAAGAATCTTTAATGCCTGAGCAAATTTCCCCAAATGCTTAGTGTCCATGAAGCATCCTGATAGAGTGAGTGAGGCTTTATGGTGGGGGCAAGAAAGATAGGTTGCCAAAGATCCATTATCGGTCCAGAGAAATGGGCAAAGGCATAAATGGTGCTAATCCCCATAAGCTAGTGGCAGATGCTAAGAAAGAAATGCTAATTAAGCAACAAGGAGCTATCCCAGAGAGAGGGAGTCATCTATTGTCCAAATCTTTGCCTCTATAAGTAGTTTCATAGCAAGGTGTCCCTTTGTTTTACTTTCCTAGTTATTTGAATAGAGATAAGTAAATTGCTTGTGCAGTTTGACTAATGGGTGTAAAATTTAATTATTTACTTTCAAATTCTTACTCATGTTCAGATTGTTGGGGCAACTGATTCATACACTAAAACTCCACCTGTGTTTCCCCCTGAATTTTTTTTTTCTGAATTGGAAAGGAGGCTCCTCCCCCGGGAAGCTCCCATCTCCTGGGCATCTGGTCTATAGTGACTGGCAAATAGGTGTCAGAGCTTCTGTGTTGAAGACAGAAGATGCAATGCTGATGATGCTGCTTGTCCATTCAACTTGAGCCATTATTTTTATTTTTGTAATACACTTTGGATTATACTTCATTACAGGACTTTTTTGTAGAGATGATATGTAAACCTGCAGTGGCTTCACAAAAAAAGCTAGGAGGGCTGCTGGAGATGTCTTATGTAAAAAGCATAGCAAGTGAGCATTTATTATAGCATTTGAACAATTTCACTCCAGCACTGATTTCATGGTAGTGCTGGGTTTAAAATCCAGGCCTCCTGACCCTGAATCTGTGCTCCTTACATCATCTCCCCATGCATATAACCCTTACCTCTGCCATTTGTATATTATAACAATGAAATGAAAATAAGTTCTGGTTATATTCAGATACCAGGCATGGTATAAAGGAGATAAAGAGGGAAAGGTAAGGGGATCAGGTAGGAGAGTTTGTTTGTTTTTAATCCCATTCTTTACAGCCTGTGTCATATTCATGAGAATCACTGGGAACTGTCAGCATTGCAACAGGTTTCCAAACTAAGCTCACGAGACAAGTACACGAATTAGTGCCGTGATTTCTTGGTGCCTTGGTAAAATACAATTCTCTTCGTACTCTTTCATTTTCTTTACACCGTGCTGGACATCATTTAACTTTGGACATCAAGCATCTCCCCTGGCTACCATGAATGAATGCAGTTGTTTTCATTTAACAATTGGGAAGTATGGCAGGCAGGACAAGGGACTCTGGTTTGGTGCAGGGCTAGGTCCACAGCACTCAGAACAGTGCGTGTTATAGGGGAACAGATTCATCGTCCATACTAGGCATGCTGTCATGGCAGTGACGTTCCAGTGAGGGGCAGTCAGATCCCCGGATCCTCCCCGCAAACAAAATATGTGACAGTATCTACTGATAAGAGCTGTGAAGAAACACAGAGCAGGGTAAGAAGGTAACGATGGGGATGGAGGTTTTCATTTAGGACAGCCACTACCTGGGGAGGTGACATCTGACAGACATCTACAGGGCTTCTTAGGAGAAGCATGGCTCATTAATTGGGGAAATGGGTTCCAGGCAGAGGACACAGTGCACACTCATCCGCTTGCCATGTTTGAGAAGCTTCAGGAAGTCCAGTGAGGGTGGAGCAGAGCCAGAGAAGGGGTGGTATAGAAGAGATGCAAAATGGGGCAGGGCCAAAACTTTTAGGACCTTGTAAGTTACAAAACAGTGAAATAGAATCCGTGGGAGGGTGTTGAGCCAAGGAATGTCATGGTCTGACATGTAACAAATGAAGGCTCTCCCTGCTCTGGGAGAAGAGGCTCGAAGGGCAAGGGGCCTGGAGACCCATGGGAAGACTGATGAGTTGGTCCAGGAAAGAGGCAATGATCACTGGATTGGGGTGGCAGTGATCTTGGTGGTGGTGAGGGGCAACCAAATGCTGGATATATGTTGGAAGTGGGACTGACAGGACACGCTGATGGATGAATGTGGGGTGAGAGAGAAAATGCGGAGTAAAGGATGACTTCAAGCTTTTGCACCTAAGCTGTAGAAGGATTGAGTTGGCATTTGCTGATGTGAGGAGAACTGAAAGAGGGTAGAATTAAGAGTAGGGTCATATTCCTGAAGAGGTTTGAACTTGATGAAATATTTTAATATGCATCGCCTCCCTTGATCCTCAAAGCAATAATAATTTGCAAGATAATTAGTATCATTTCCATTCTACTGTCAGGAGTTCTATAGTAAAGAAATTTAGTGTCTCTTCTAGGGTCACATGGCTAGTGAGTCACTGAGCCAGAGCTTGAGTGCAAATATTCCAGCCCCAAGATCAATGTTTATTTAATAAATCACACCAGGCCAAGATGATGTATTTGGGAGACTTAAACAGGCCATTTGTATCACATAATATCATCTTGGTCAAAGCAATCTGTAATTGGTCATGTTGCACTCCACCTATTGGCATCATGAAACTCATCTTTTTATGTTATGTCAAATATGCAGACATTGATTGTCATTACAAAAAACTTAAAACATTAAATTTAGCACTCAAAAAGTAGTTTATAAGTTTATATAGGAAGAATATATAACATATAGGACATAAGGTATATTTAAAAATATGTTATTTCTCATTTGGTTCCTGAATTTCTTTCCCTCTCTCCCTCCCTCCCTCCCTCCCTCCCTTCCTTCCTTCCTTCCTTCCTTCCTTCCTTCCTTCCTTCCTTCCTTCCTTCCTCCCTTTATTCCCTCCTTCTTTCCTTCCTTCTTATTTTCATTTGAACAAATGGCCTGTGCATCCTATGACCTAAGTTATAGTCTCTACTCTGGCATTCACCAACCATGTAAAATTGGGTAAATCCTACATTTTCAGAGTCCCAGTTCCCTCATTTTAAAGAAAAAAAAAAGGGTTAGACTTGACCATTTTTTTAATCTATTTTTTAAATTTTATTTTTAATTTATTGATTTCAGAGAGAAGAGGCAGATAGAAACATCAATGATGAGAGAGAATCATTGATTGACTGCCTCCTGCACGCCCCCTACTGGGGATTGAGCCACAACCTGGGGCATGTGCCCTTGGCCAGAATTAAACCTGGGACCCTTTAGTCCGCAGGCCGATGTTCTATCCATGACACAAACCAGCTAGGGCTAGACTTGATCATTTTTAAGGTGTCTTGCACCTTTGAAATGTATAAAAATGCAGGATATAATTAGACTTGCAGGTTTTTCAACCTAGATGGCCCAACACAATTAGAGGAATAATTATATCACCAGAAAATAGGAATAGCAATGCATATATTAATTCAGAATAAATTCTTCAGCCATACAAACTTTTTTCATATCAAAGATAATTTTTTACATGGCACACACTTGCTTTAATAAAACCTTATTGTTCATTTGTTTGCCTATCACTCTCCAGTTAAAGACAACACAGCACATACCTGAAGACAATAGGCATGCTTTCCCAATTGCACTCAGGATAAGAGTGTTCTAGTGAAGAAGAAAAACAATCCTGCATCCAGCAGACCCTTTAGCTGACTCAGCCATCCTAGCTGATAGTGTAATATTTTATGCCAGAAATTGGTACTTTAAAAACTTACATATTTAAAGCAAGAGTATAATCAAGGACCATAAGAAGAAGCAGGAAGCAGACATTACTCTTTATCGAGTCAGCTGAAACCAGGAAAGTTAAAATGGGACTGTTGTCTATACCACAGCAATTAACTTAACTTTTTCAATAAGAAATGTTTTCTCAAGAAAAATACAGCCCAACGAGAATGGGCTTGTAAAAAGGAAAGAAGAGCAGGTGAGAACGAAACCAGCCATCCTTCTCTACATTATGGTTCAGGAATGACAGACCTGCAGGATATGGCTCAAGTGCAATGTCATTGCCTTTTCTTTCAGTTTTCATACTGCAAGACCTTGACCTCATGGCCACCGCAGCTCACCTGCTTCCAGAGGCGCCATGAGTTTCCACTGGGGAGAAATTTTTTCATCTCCTCTTTTCCCTTCTCATATTCGTAATGTGTTAGAGCCCTGCTAGCCCTCCTGCCTTAGCTAGTTCATGATGTAACATGAGTCCTCCTTTATCAATTTGCAAGAGTCTAAAGCTTCATTCAATTCACATACGGGTAATTGTTCCATCACATTACCTTTTTTTGTTGAAGGTTCCAATAATCTTCGTGCAACTGGAGTTGTCTCCTCCACACACTCCACACTTGTCATACTGCAGCTTTGAGCCAATGATGCCATCACAGCCAGTCCGCACACATTTCCCCCGGACGCAGACGGAATTACTGTACGGCCTACATTCCGTTCCATCGGTCACCTGCATGGGAGAAACACGTTAGCAGTGGGCAGTACTTGTGCCCACGTACTAGATTTCTTTGGTAAAAGACCACATTCTAATTGGTGGGTTTTGAGTTTGATTGGAATAGATAGTACATTGAGAAATAAACAAAGAACCAAAAAACTATAGTTTTCAGGAGCATCTAACTGAAAAATCATTTACATGTTGGCAGAAGATCTGAGATAAGTCTCAGTTATACACTTTCTCTCTTGAGCTTAACTCCCAATGTGTTGAGACACCCAAGGTATTCATCTCCATTTCTCTATGCATATCACGTTCCCATTGTACAGCCTCTCCTTATTACCCTGAGTGAAGTGATCTTTCCACTCAGCCTGTGGGACTGTCACTTGCTTCAAGAGCAGAATATGAGCAGGAGATCTTTCTTTGTCACATAATTATTAACATAGCAGTAAATCTGAAAACCTAAACCTGGCCTCCTTCAAAACCATGTAATGGTTGGAAAACAGTCCCTGGTGTGTCAAACTGACAGATGCTGAAATTGAGACAAACAAATTAGTGTAGGAAAAGGGATCTGGGGAAGTCACTGAGAACTACTTACTAGAAGAAAATGACTATATAAAAGCCCAGCAACTGGAATAATGGCAGAATAACCAGAACAATCAGAATGACCAGAACAACCAGTGCAGCAGCCAACCAGCCTGATCTGGGCCCTGATTGCAACCCCTCCCCCCCCCCCGCCTGGCCTGGCCCCCAATCGGCCTCCAACACCCCGATCAGGGGTGGGGCTGGCTGGCCAACCACTCGCAGCCCCTCCCCCCAGCTGGCTCTGCCTCTGAACAGCCCCCAACACTCCGATTAGGGCAGGGCCAGCTGCCCAATCACCTGTGGCCCCTCCCTCCCACTGGCACAGCCCGATGGGCCCCCATAGGGGCGGTCCAGCCGGACCCCACCCATGCAGAATTCGTACACCAGGTCTCTAGTATATTCATAAAGCTAGTTATAAAATAGGATGTGCATGAACTACTTGTGGTTTGTGCATGTGAGTGTAGATAAATAACATATCATATATATATATATATATATATATATATATATATATATATAGAGAGAGAGAGAGAGAGAGAGAGAGAGAGATTTTATATTTGTGAATATACAAAAGTCTTCATACATGTGTGTGTATATACTGAAGTAGGGTATACTTCAGCAGGTTAACTGCTGTCTAGTTGGCTATATTTCCAGGTGATGTTTTTGTTTTTATTTCCCTGTACTATTTTTAAAAATGAAAATGTATTTTTTTGAAATAAAAAATATAGTTTTAAATTACATTAGTTAGACATGAACTTATTTTTCAATAATGTGTCAGAAATATCTGAAGGTCAGGTACAGAGGTGGATTTAAATGTAGCATCTGCTGTGAAGGGATGAAGAAGTACAGATTGGTAGTTTCAAAATAATCGTGGGGATGTAACATACGGCATAAGGAATATAGTCAATAACTATGTATAGTGCCAGCTGGGTACTGGAAATATCAGGGGAAACACTTTGTAAAGTATGTGATTGTCTAACCACTATGATGTATACCTGCAACTAATACAAAATAATATTAATGTAACTGTTACTGAAAAAAATTAAAAAATAATGAATGTAGCATCTGTTTGCAAATTAGATAAACAGTATTAGATAAATTGCTGCATAATATTGATTGTGAGAAGTAAAGCTGCAGTAATTTAGAAAATGTTCTTCAGTGAAAAATAAGGGATAATTCCACACTCATATATTATGTGTACAAGTAGAGGGACATTGATTCATACTAAGAGTGCAAGGCATTTAAAAGTCTAGTTCAGAGACAATAATCTTGAGGACTATCTTCATGAATCACTACCAAAATTCTTAAGTAAATGATAAAGGGATAGAAAAGCTTTCTTGCTATATAGTCCCCTTTACAAACGTGCCTTGGAAATACCAGCTGTTTTCAAGGCTATTTTGAACTTAAGGTAGCATCTGACCTGACTTGATGAGTTACCCTTTTCAAAAACAGCTTTTAAAACATGTACTGGTTCTGTTTATAAAAATTTTTTACTCATTGTATAAAGTTTGAAGATAGAAATTATAGAGATGAAAATAAAGTCCTTCTATATTTAGCCCCCCCCCCCCTCAAATAATGACTGTTTACAGTTGGTATCTGTAGGCTTCCTTCTACCAAATGATTTCCACCAATGATGCCTATTATGTCTGGACAGTTACTTACCTTTGGAGAAAACACCACATAGTAGCCGGTGCCCTTGGCCCTGCAGGTCAGCTTGCACACGTCCCCCGGCAGGACGCCGGCGTACTTGGGAACCCATTCCACAAATGTTTTGACTCCTTTGGCATCAGACTGATATCCGTTTTTGGCCTCACACTGCTCATGACGAAAAGATTTACCTAAAAAACAGACATGTCACATTATTACTCTACTGTTCCGAAACTCACATACATTCTTGTGCATTTAAATAATTTTAAGAAGAGGCTGTTTTCTTTCAGAGCCTCTTTACATACCAGTGTCGAAAGACTTTTATCTATACATGGAGTTGAAAATAGCAATTGCTTTCTTTCAACTTCCTGGATACTCAAATGTTTATAATAATAATTTAAAAAATCACTCATGTAGTTGTTACTGATTTGCACACTGGTAGAACGATGAAGTACAAGATGAATAGGCTATTTCACCAGAATAGCTAGAATAGGCTATTCTAGCCCTGTCCATTACTGTTAGAATAGGATTTGCAGGTGACACATGATGGTTGCTGACACCTGGGAGCGGCGTACCATTTGCAGGGCAGGGCATAACACTGCAGGATCGGTAGATGGCCCTCTTTCCTGTGCAGTAGCGGCCACTGTTTCTGGGTGCTGGGTTATTGCAGTGGCGATAGGCAAATTGGACTCCTCCCCCACATGAGCGGGAACACTGGCCCCAGGACCCCCAGGACCCCCAGTTGCCATGGCTTGATGTCTGAAATAGAAAACAGAAGACATGTTAACTCAGAAGGGAAAAAAACATTCAAATGTACATTTGGACATCACTTGCATATATGACGATGGACACTTCATTTAGAGTTAAATTGTCAGTGAATGTTCTGGAATTACAACGTGTTTCTGATTCTAAGCAATTCACCTTCTCTGCTTCCCCTCTCTCTGGCATTAGAGGTTCTGAGTGCATCATCCTAAGCACTTAGCCCACTGCAAGAATGACCACCTGGTTTCTCTGACCATTTTAACTGACGCATCCCGACACTGCACATTTCTGTCAATCACCCCTGAACCCCGCTTGACTTTGTATCCACTCTGATCTCGCACCTTTAACAAAAGGTATGATGCTAAAGATTTTGCATGGCACCAGTGTGGGTTCCTCACGCTTGTGTATCTGTTCTCCCTCTTTTGCACGAAAGTTCTCAGTGCCTCTGGCATCACACATCCTGTCTGTGACAGACCCTCTGCCACATGCATCCATGTACTTGACCTGGGGGTGGCTGAATTCCTAACTAGATTAGGGTCTCTGGGTTTAGAGAGGAAATGTGGCGGATATTGAGGTGCACCCACACCACATGCACACACATCCCGGGAAACAAAGAGCCCTGTCATGACACCCCAGGCCTATTACTCTGGAAACATTGCAGCAAGGAAGCTGCTACTCTAAAAGGAAGAATATTACGAACTCCTTTGTGGAGGGGACTTGTGAAGAACATCCGCGGGCTGCCTGTGTCAGGGGATCTGAGAAGGTGTTAGCCTTTGAAGATACAGGTCACATGCATATGGCAACATTCTTCTGGGGCAGCCATCTGCAACTGGCATGCTATAAGAAGTTTTAAAACATGCAACACCTGCCTATTTAGTCAGGGGTGGACTCTTTTCCCTTAGATTGTCAAATAAAACATGGCAACAGCCAACACAATAATAGCCGTCTGGTATGAGACGTGGATACAGGGAACAGGCTGACAGTTGTCAGAGGGGAGGGTGTTGGGACGGACGGGATGAAAGAAGGTGAAGGGATTAACCAAAGAACATATATGCCTAGTCCATGGACATTGACAACAGTGTGGTGAAGGCCAGATGAGGGGGGCAGGGGCTGAGTGGAGGTGGACAAAGTTGGGGGGGGATGGAGGACATCTGTAATAGTGTCAACAATGAAAAATAAATAAAATTTAAGAACAGGGAAAAAATATACCCTTTTTTTTTTTTTGGTCAGATAGAGAAAAAAATATGTTGTGCCACAGAAGTTTAGTAATTAGTGTATATGTGCCGGGAGATGAAAAAGGCTGAAAACCGCTGTTCTAGGGACTGTGGGTGAGTGTCAACAGAAACTTTGGGCCTTAAAAATGAAGGTGGCAGCCTGGCTGGCGTGGCTCAGTGGTTGAGTGTCGACCTATGAACCAGGAGGTCACGGTTCGATTCCCGGTCAGGGCATATACTCAGGTTGCGGGCTCAATCCCCAGTCTGGGGCATGCAGGAAGCAGCTGATCAATGATTCTCTCTCATCACTGATGTTTCTATTTCTCTCTCCTTCTCCCTTCCTCTCTGAAATCAATAAAAAAATATAAAACAATAAATAAAAGGGGAAGGCAACAAGAGAGTTTCCTCTTTAAAAAAATGAAGGTGTAAGTTGCTGACATAAAGGTGGACTATTGGGGGGTAGGGGAGCAGGGAGGAGTGTGTCCCTGGAGCAGGTGTGGGCTGCTTTAGCTGCTAAAGATAGATGAACTTGCTAAGCAGGGGAAGCAGGGCGATTTTGGCTCTTCCCGAGTATGTGTGAGGACCATGTGTCAGGTCTATTGCTATTTCCTTAATGAATTCAAAAAATGCCGTCTCATAACATGGCTAAGAGAAGCCTGAAAGTAAACTTCCCCACAGTGGGCCGTACTGGGTCTCAGGCAGGTAGAATCTGGGCTGCACCCTTATTTGTCACCGGACATAACCTGGCAGAGCACCTGTGGCCTGCATTTCCTCCAGTTTTTCCATGGCTGGACCTGGCTGCTGTGGTTAAAGGAGGAAGCAGGAAATAGCTCTCTCAAGAAAACACAGTTTAACTAGGAAATGAAGCCTCCTGCTGACAGCCCCACACATGTCAGGGGAACGTGCTCCAGGTCTCGGGTCTCCAGGCATCGCGTGGCAGGAAAACCACTTACCGAATAATATTTTTTCTTGGTTTTGTCCACACACTTGCCCTGCAGGCAGATCCTCCCTTTCCCACACGGGGTCCCTTCCACGGCGGGCAGCTTCTTGGTCAGACACACCATCTGGCCCTGGCGCACCACGGCGCACCAGAGGCGGGCGCAGACGTCCATGCCCGGGCACACCGAGTACTCGGGCCCGAAGGTCAGGTTGCACTGCTGGGTGGCATCGTAGGTCTGTCCCGGGAGCTCTTCGGGGCCCAGGATCTGCTTGCGAGGCAGGTCTAGCAAACAGTTACCTGAAAGAATAACCAAGATTGACCACTGCTCCGTGTGTAGGTTTTAAACTAAAGTCACGGATCTAAAGATGAAGTGCTCCAGCCCTAGCAGGTTTGGCTCAAAGGATAGAACGTCGGCCTGCAGACTGAGGGGTCCTAGGTTTGATTCTGGTCAAGGGCACATGCCCTGGTTGTGGGCTCATTCCTCATTGGGGGGGAGGGTGCAGGAGGCAGCCGATTCTCTCTCATCATTGATATTTCTATCTCTCTTTCCCTGTCCCTTTCTCTCTGAAATCAATAAAAATATATTTAAAAGATGAAGTGCTCCAGCTGATGTTGAAACATGATGCACCCACAGATCTGCAGTGTGATGCTGTTGGGAAGGGACTCCCTGGGTGTGAGGCTGGGTGCCTCCATGTAATGTATTGACTCTGGGGTATCTATAATGATAGCAGTGGCATGATTGAATAAACACAGTTTGTAATAATTAGTTGTGAAAATAGCCATTGTGCTAAGAGACTAAAAGAAACTGGATTGCCTGGCTGGCAGGCATGGCTCAGTGGTTGAGCGTCAACCTATGAACCAGGAGGTTGGGTTGTGGGCTCGATTCCCCAGTGTGGGGAGTGCAGGAGGCAGCCAATCAATGATTCTCTCTCATCATTGATGTTTCTATCTCTCTCTCTCTCCCTTCCTCTCTGAAATCAATAAAAATATATACATATTTTAAAAAAGAAACTGGGATAGATCTAGAGGAAATAAAATAATGGACATAACAGCAACAACAACATATAAACATTTACAACAGTAAGAAATAGTGTGCCCTTGGCACTCTATTTATACCCCATTGTCCACTTTCAACTTCTCTCTTCCTCATGTGCCTTCCCTTGTCCCTTCTCATTAACTCCATAAATAATAAACAAGTGGATCCCTCCTTCATTCTTGCACTCACTGAGAACAATGATAATGGGTATGATGCCCAACGTATTTGGTGAGCACCTACAATGTCCTAGTAAACATACTAGATACTGGGAAAACGGAAAAATAACCCCGATCCAGCCTTCAAGGCCTCCCAATAAAGTGAAAGAAATAGACTAAATAACGTATTTCTCCCAGACTGATAAGACTTGGAATAAAGGGCTTTCAAGAGTCACAGAATAAAGGAGGAGGGGGAGAAATCGAGAAATAATCTTCGATGATTTGGGCTGAGACCCAACTTTTACTCTTCTCCTCCCGTTTTTCCCCTTTGTGTCAGTTTTTAATGTAATTCGTATTTGTTGTTTGGCATGTGTCTGCCCCCCAACAAGTTGGTGCCCTTATTACAGAGTAATATGGGGAGTATATAGTGAGCTGGGGGTCAATAGAAGCCAGCGCTCCACGTGAATGATGCAATCTCAGAAGCTGGAACCTACCTGCAACACGCTTCCCTAAGAATCCCTGCTCAGGGAGTAATATCATTAATGATCTCCCATGATTTGGGTGCATGCACATTACTCACCATTTTCTGTATTTTTTTATTTACTTGATTTTAGAATTTACTTACTGATGATTAAGAGCACTAAAAATAACAAAGATTTCTTACACATTTACACTATTCTCAGCTACTTAAATGTATTAGTTTATTTAATCCTCATAAGAACTCTGCCAAACAGACTCTACTGTCTCCTCATCATTTACCAACTTACTTCTGCTTTGCATGTGGATGGATTTTTCTGATTTTATTGCTGAAGGGCAAGCACAGGTAGGGATCCTTTAAATGGTGGGTATTGTGCCTCCTGGTAGAAACACCAGGTCTAAAGTCTAACTCTGGCAAAACACTAAGGGCTGAGTGTTCTTGGCCAACTTAGTTAACCTCTCCCTAATTTATTTTCAAGCTCTGTGAAATGTTTCTCTTTTCACTGTGACACCGTAAGGGTAAAATTAGCTACAAGAGATATAAGAGGCCACCAGAAAAATACAAAACAATGGTAGTTGCTATCATGTCCAGCATATGTAACAACCATTTAGATATATTCGAGTTATTCTTTTTGTTCAACAAAATAGAGATATTTAAATCCTACTTTCCACCGAGAAATTAAATACTCAGCACATTCTAAATATACTGCAAATGTTTTTACAACTACTACACTCACATTTCTTCAAAGTGAATACCTTAGAATGTGTCAATCTGTGATGGAGGCATTATATGAAAATGAATAAAGAGCAAAGTTCCTATTTAACTTCTGGGCCAGAATGTTTGAAGAGGTAAAACTTCTTAAGGCAAGCCAGAAAAAGCATTAAAAAAGAAGTACCCAGCCAAAGAGAACTTGGGGAGAAAAACATCAAGTTAAAAGAAAAACATCAACATCAAGTCAATAGGAAAGAATGATAGTAAAACCCCACGAAGCTTTGTTTAGGAGACGGAGGAAGATTGGGCCCTTTGGAACCCCCTGGAAAGCCTATCTTCATTGCTACATAGAAAGAGCATTGTGTAAACCAGGAAAAGCTCAACAGATTGCTGATGTTAGGAGAATGTCCACGGATCTCTGAGACAGCAAGAATGCTTTCCAATTCTTCAAAAGTACTGCTTTAAAAAAAACATTTTAATTTTACTAAAAAGCACAGACCATAAGACTGGGTAACTAAATATTAGCTGGGAAGTCTTTACATGTGTGGGTGCCTGTGGCAATGGTCTACCTGGTATGGCTCCAGCCAAAATAACTCCCCACCTCTCTGTGGACATGCAGTCACCGACATCCTTTATACCTCACTGGTAGATGATGAGTGAAAAGAAATGTATAATGCAAACAGTTTGAAATCAGCTTACACAAAGGCAAGTTCAAGAGGTGACATCTCTTTATAACGCTTAATACCAAAGGATGAATTTTGAAAATGAACAACACATTTGTTTTGCTATGAAAAAGTTGGTATCTCTGCTGCATGGTTTTCAGGTAGAGGTCACCGGGGGATGACCTTTACTTGCTTAAAGTGACTTATTTCAGAATTGCCATTAATGTATTACTCTGATGTTCTCAACATTAGGATTTGATGCTGCATTCCTTTCTTTTTACTCTGAAATGTACAGTCTGTCGATTTCATCTATTTGTTGAATTAGATCCTTTAGCTATAAAATAGGTACAGGAATCTCTACCAAATGGTAGACTGTGCCACAGAACAATACAAAATAAAAAGCCTTATTCTGAATCTCACAGTACAAATATTTAAAATCTCAGTAATAGTGGATTGGATATAGATTTTCCATCTTAATAATTGTGTACGTTTTGGGGGAGGGGTGAAAGAGGAATTGATCAAACTTTTAGTATCATTCATGTTAACCTCTAAAAGCATTCAGTCTACTGTTGACTTTTCTTGCTCATTTTTACTTTTATTCTCAGCCACTTTTTTACATTTACTTAATGCATTTTTTAATTTACCTTTGTCTGAAATCCTATCTGGGCTTGGCTGCCCACATTAGGTCTGTTTGCTGTGTTCCACAAACTGCCAAGTTGCTTTTTCCTTTCTCCCTCCTTTTTCTCCCTCCCTCTTTTCTTTCTTTCTTTTGTTTTAACATTTGGTGCATATAAATGATGGTTTCTAAAAGGTATATGAATGTCGAATCATTATATTGTGCACCTGAAACTAACATGATATTGTATAGCAACTATATTTAAATTAAAAAAAGAGCCTAGCCTGACTGGTGTAGCTCAGTGGTTTAATGCTGACCCATGAACCAATAAGTCACTGGTTCCATTCCTGGTCAGGGGTCAGGGCACATGCCCAGGTTTCTCTCAATCTCCAGTAGGAGGCATGCGGGAGGCAGCCCATTGATGATGTTTCTCTTTCATCACTTTTTGTATCTCTCTTTCCCTGCCTCTCTAAAATCAATAAAAACATTTTTAAAAAAAGAACTTAGAAACAAACAAAAAAATAACAGGATATAAGTACAGAGGCACTAGATATTAAAAACATAATGAGGATGTTATAAACAACTTTATGCCAATACATTTGGATCGAGATGAAAAGAAATTGAGCATTAAGATCATATTACTAGCTTTATCGTCTATATTTACAAGGGATTTCTGCAATTGATTTTTCTAATACCATTTTATCTCCAAAAGTCTGTGGTTCAGTAAGTGACTGTAAATGAGATCTTCAAATATGCTCCAGGTTAATGTTTCAAAGCTGTCTATCGGTTTTCCTGGGCAGCCTGTGTCATGGGTGTAGTACTTGAGCTGTGGCTACTAGTACTTAGGTGGCGGCCTTTCTCATCACCTGGCCCTGAGACTTAGGGATACAGTGGGGGTTGAGCTATTGTTTCTGGCTTCAAGGTTACAGAGCATTTAAGAAAGGAAATTCAATAACCTGCTTTCACTGCACAATTTCTCTGCCAGTGCTTCCCTTTATTTTTGAGGATCACACTCCTAGCCAGCTTGCCTGGAGCTAACTTGTATAAACACGGCAGAATGTCTACAAGTATCTCGGCCAGGTTGGTGGGGGCTGGGGATCCCCATGAGATATGGCTTCTCCTTTTCTGAATCACAAATCTGCAGGCACAGTTATTTTCAAGTGTGCATACTGACTTTCAACCATAACCGAATTGCTACATAGTTCTTGTTGGAACTAAATCAGGAAACACTCAGTATTAATGAATTTTAATTTGGCAATGGTTGAGTGCTATAAATGTCTGGCTACTTATGGCTAATAATTTTAAAAATAAAGCAAATGATTTGAATGTAATCACACTCTAAGACCTCATTTCTCCAGCACTGCTGGAGGGAGACAGGTGAGCTATTTTTTTAGCCATAAATAGATTTTTCCAGATAATAAATTCCTTAGGCACCATCTAAAAATTGTATAAATTTTGTGAGAATATCTATTTAAAACAGCAGTTGCTTTGCTGCCTTTATATTGGTGTCAAAATTTAATCCTCTTAAAATAAAGGAGTATCAATTTTTGTATCCTGCTGAAATACAGAGGTACTTTCACGAATCTTGCTGGTAGGATAGGGTTTTTTACTTTTGGCAAAATGGTGCCAGACCTCTAAGCTTTAAATGTTTTAGGACCACATCTTACAGCTTTCTGGTTTCTCCCTTATTGTCAAACTAGAGGCTCAGTGCACGAAATTTGTGCATGGGGGAGTGGTTCCCTCAGCACGACCTGCACTCTCTCCAATCGGGACCCCTCGGACATACCTCTCCCAATCTGGGACCGCTGGCTCCTAATTGCTCACCTGCCTGCCTGCCTAATCCTAACTGTCTCTGCCTGCCTGCCTGATTGCCCCTAACCACTCGCCTGCCTGCCTGATCGCCCCTAACTGCTCCCTGGGGGGTGGGGCCAGGTGGGGCAAGGGGCCGTGGTCATTCTGGTCTCTGGTCGTTCTGGTCATTCCACCGTTTTGGTCACTGAGCTTTTGTTATATAGGATGACATCATTTATTGCTTCCAGTTTACCTGTCTGAAGTGCACCCCACCCCCGCCATGATTATATTATTGCTTAAAATTTTTGGTGGCCAAGAAAATTAGAACAAAAAATAGTAGCTTGGCCAGCATGGCTCAGTGGTTGAGTGTCGACCTATGAATGAGGTGGTCATGGTTTGATTCCTGGTCCAGGCACTTGCCTGGGTTGTGGCTTGATCCCTGGTGGGTAGTGTGCAGGAGGCAGGTGATCAATGATTCCCTCTCATCATTGATGTTTCTATCTCTGTCCTTCTCCCTTCCTCTCTAAAATCAATAAAAACCATATATTTTTTTAAAAAGAAAAAGAGAAAAAATAATTATTTCTACTAAATATAAATAAGTGGGCTCTGATGGGACGCCTGAGTAGCTCTCTATAAGTAAAGTGAAAGGATTTTATGATATGATTTCATTATATCAGTTCAGCCTTCTGACAAAGATGTGTCTGTTTATTTGTTTGTTTTTCCATTGTCTTGGACTTCAACTTTCTTCTTGGTTCTCTCCTAAGCTCTGAAGTGGAAGTGTCAGAATCTCAATCATCTGGAAATTGCATTTACTAGTTCCGACTGCCACACTTCCACTTAAGTCAGTTTTCCAGGTTGCAATTTAAAAGTTATTATATTATTTGAATTCACATTTACAGAGAGCACTGCTCTGCATGCTATTTTGAAATGCACATAGTTGAAAGCTTTGCCATTGTATCATAGGACCTTTTTTTTCTCTCCTTATTCTGAAATTACTTGATTCATTATAGGCTACTGAAAAAGGCTTTGTTGTTAAAACGCAAGATTGCCTAACCAATATATTTAAAAGTGAGAGTCTAAACTTCATGAAATGAATAAATCAACTAAGAGAATTTGCTATCAAAATTCAATTTAGGGAAATGAATTTAGTTATTTAACATACAAATGAGAAATTCAGATAAGACTTTATCATTGCAAGTGAAGTAGGTCTGTTTCCACTAAAAATATGTTCTTGGTTGTTATATCCCATGAGATCCTTTGGAATAGACATAGAGATATATAAAACATGTAAATTAGTTGCAAAAATTTAACAAATCTGAGTATGGACTCTTTTAAATACAGAAGTAATATTAAAATATGAAGATAATACTAAAAGCATATTTACTGCACAGAAAGTAAGATCATGGATTCCACAAATGTGAAATAAATGAATCATTCCAAAATTATGGTAATAAGAAATAAAATTCTGCACAGCATTGTAATTAACTGACCTAATACTTGCACAGGGAAAAAAATTTGGTCCCATTTTAGCCATAAGTATTTGCTGCCTTAGCAACTAAATCCACCCATTTAGTGATTCAAAGTTTAACTCAACATTTTGGAATGTGTAACGTGTGATGCTGAAATAAAATATTAATGTGATTTCATTTTCAGAAAGCCTGAGAAAAAAATCCCAGCAAAAGCAATAGTAAGATTAGAGAATACATGCCCGGCTGGCATGGCTCAGAGCTTGAGTGTCGAGCTATGAACCAAGAGGTCACACAGTTCGATTCCCAGTCAGGGCACATGCCTGGGTTGCAGGCTCTAACCTCAGTGTGAGGCATGCAGGAGGCAACCAATCAATGATTCTCTTTCATCATTGACATTTCTATCTCTCTCTTCCTCTCCCTTCCTCTCTGAAATCAATTATATATATATATATATATATATATATATATTTTAAAGGCACTTGCAAGAACAAAAGAAAGAAAGGAAGGAAGAAAGGAAGGAAGGAAGGAAGGAAGGAAGGAAGAAAGAAAGAAAGAAAGAAAGAAAGAAAGAAAGAAAGAAAGAAAGAAAGAAAAAGAAAGAAAGAAAGAAAGAAAAACGATTCCACCCATGAGGGACTTTACTAGACATTCACTTGATCCATGTAGACAGGCAGATAATTAAATAAAGATTAATTTTGGGAGTTTATCAATATTTAATCAACATTGTAAACTGAGCTAAACAGAAAATTACCACTTTATTATTAATCTAAAGGAAAAGCCTAGTTCATTGATTCTTAGTATTATCTTATATCTTTGAGATATTGAGATGTCCTTTCAATGAACAAAGAACATGTATTTTGTATTGAGGAAAATTTTAAACCAAGTTGGGCATGGACTATATTCAGAAATAGGAAATTCTAAAATTCCCAAGTGGATAAAGCATTTCCACTAACAGAGCAAAAAAAATGAGTTAATGAACAGATTTTGCCTATAAGCCACCAAAGGACATGGAACAGAATTTATTTTTGTCTGAAAAAAAATTAAATTTTTAATTGTTTTGACATTATGGAGTCAAAGTTGAAGATGGTGAGCTCACTAAGAAATTACAAAAATATTAAACCCTAACTTTGTGGAACTAGGAAAAAGCAGTTATTACAGATTCTCTTTATCCAACTTTGAAGCAATCATTATAAGTTAAATTTATGGACAATCATTATGCTCAACAATTTCTGTCATATTCAATTCAACCATGAGTTTTACAAAGAGACAAATTTTAAGAGGAAAAAAAGCCACAAGAAATGAGAATATGTCCTTTTCTGTAAAATGAGAAACTTGAACTAAGTGGTCTCTGAAGTTCTCTTTCAACTCTAATGAGCCTATTCTCCAGTGTTTCCAGTATTTTAAAATAATAAGGAATGCTAGGAAATTTGCAACTTCTTGTTTCAGATTACTTATGGGTCAGAATTTATTTATAAAAACTGTTATTTCCTTAGTGTTTTCATAAAATTCACTAGTCTTAGGTTTACAGAATTTAATAAAGCATGCTGTGCTCTTGAACTGTATCTGAATGAGAAAGCCAAAGATTTTCGTTTGAAGTTCTTGAAGTATTTTCCCACCATTCAGATGGATTTTCTATTTCTGTTCTTCAGTTTTTACTCCACTTTTCAGGAGAATCTGCCATCAGGATGAAATCAAACTCATCCAGTGAATGCAAACCTAAAGTGCTTCCTTTCCTGGCTTTCTGTTGCCATAAAGAGAATCTGACAGAATTGTCACCTACACCTGAACCACACCCCTATAATAGGCATGTAACAAGTAATCCTGCGAGTTGTATTAATAGCAGGGATATAAGATGTCTGCCAGCATTCTCACAGGAAGCCAGTGGTGAAAGAAGGAATAAAAGCCAGGCTTTCAGGCCACGAGCTAGGCCTTCTGTGTGGTCTCCCACATTGCTTCTCTTTTGAACTTTTCAATTCAAAAGCAAAAATATCATGGCTATAATGCCACCAAGGATGTTGGCATGATAGCCCAACAGACAGTCAGTTCTCTTGCTTCTTTTTCCCTTCACACTCTCTAAACATCCATTGTCTTAGAGGGTGAGGTGAATGTCATGAGGATATCATGAAGGAAAACTCGTAATAATCCTAAGTTTTGTTTCTGAGCCTCTGTTGTCCTTGACAATACCTACCGTGGCCATCGTCCAGGAATTCTGTGATGGTGGCTGAGGCACATTTGGACCAGGGCTTGGATGCATCGATGCTGGTTAGGATGGAGGACATTAAGCGCTTATCTTCTGTGGAGCCAAAGTTCTCTTCACAGAATTTGGAATCGTCATGGGAGAGGCCAAGGAGATGTCCTACAGGAGAGATTACAGGAAGTGCGGATCAGAGTGATTTTGCGATTCTACTTTTCTGTGTCAATTACACGAGCACTTGATTTCCTCCCCCCACAACATTTGTACATGAGTTCATTGTAACTGCCTTTCTCACACAGAGACCAGACCCCCAGGGAAATTAAAGCTGCATATAGTTAGAAGCAGTCACTTTGGGTAAACATTTAGGGGAAATATGAAAATGACACTAAGGAGGAGATGTTCCCATAATGCATCTGGATCACACATGCTCAATGATACGTAGAAATGAGGCCTTATTTAGAATCAAGAATTTGCAAGACAACTGTGGCATTATGTCATAGCCCTCACTACATATTATTGTGATTATTTGTCTAATTTTCCATCTTCTCTGGTCAATCAAAATCCCCATGAGATCAGAGAACATTTCCCTCCATTGACTGTTGAATCCTCTGTATTTAACTCAATGTTCTGCAAGTTGTAAACACTTAGTAGATGGCTTCTATTTCCTTAGCCAAGTAGCTATATGAGATGAGTGGGGGTGGAGTGGGAAAGAAAGAGAAGTGAAATGAGTAACTTTCTGCTTGCATGCAAATGTAAGCTTGTTTCACCCTTTCATTTTTTTTGTTATTTAGTGAGTTACTAATCTCACACATAAACGGCACAGTTTCATTTACATTTAAGAAAAGCCCAAAATACCAAGATGCTCATCATGAAGTGTTAGAGCTGGAAGAGAAAAGAAAAATATTGGGAAGGTAAGTGATTGTCTAAAACCACTCAGCTAGGTGATGTTTGTACTTATCCCTCTCAGCCATGTTCCCCTGACTCCCAGTCACTGCCATCTCCACTCTACAAGATAGATATTATATCACAGAGTTCATAACCACGGTCTTGTAATCCAACTGAATTATTTATCACATAAGATTAATTTTAACATAGTCTACAGATAAAGAGTCATTGTCCAATAAATCTAAAATATTCTGCAAAAATAAATTTGGGGCAGCAGTATAGAAACTCTGAAAAGTAGGAAATCGATACTCCTGGTAGCATTTTTGCAAAAGTTTATAGAATCATACGCAAACCACTACACAGGAATGCAGGACATCCTATAGAAAAATGATGACTGCATTTTCTGTGGGTTTCTGAATGCCAAAGGCAAGAACTTGGATCATGCCACCAAAAGAGTCCAGTGTGTACCAGTAAAACCCAACAGAGATGAAGTCTTTCACGCATTCCAACTACTTTTGGCCAACTTGTTAAATCACCAACACCTCATAACAAAGTTGTCCACTGAGCAGCTGGTTGCTGTTGTGGCTGAAATGAAGTAGCTAGGACTTGGTGACCTTCCGAGGCTCAACATTTTCATGCTATTTAAGCAGTTATTTACTTCAATAGCATTTACTAGGCTAGCAAGTTTTCTTAGGGGAAACTTCCCACCAGCAGTCACGTTTTATTTGGTAACATGAAAGCGCATCACAGTCTGCAAAGTGCACCCCAAATCACATGCAACAGGAGATTGGAGGGGTTCTTCCAGTTTTGGGGGGGTATGTTGAGTTTTCCAGGGAACCCACAGCTCAGCTCACAGAAAAACAGAATCTGTCATTCATGCCCTATTGAACGTGGCTTAAAGTTACTTAGTACATCAAACACGGGTTGAGAATGCACTCTGTGCTGTTGAATTTTTCCAAGGCACAATGTTTATCAGCTAACACTGGGATTTGTAGGGAAATTTCACACTTGAGTTTTTCCCCCTGGCATAAATGAGAGGGGAAATGGCTTAAAGTGACCTCTGCAACATAATATTTATTTTATATTTTAAAAGCATGTACTTTTTGCATTCTATTTCATAAAATAGTCATATTTATTTAAAGGATTAAGAGCCTTTTTCCTCCTCCAAATCTACATAAGTAAATAGCACTTGCCATATGCATTTTTATTAAGGGATTGTCACTTCATATGGAGGGTAGGTATTAGGTTTCGGATTTAAAATGCAGGCCATGTGGCAAATACCAAATTAACTTTGAGGGGCCTGGGAGAGTACCTCAGTTTTTTTTCTTTCATATAGTGGTAAGGCATATCATTTTAAAGATTTCAGTTATATAAGCAAAGCAGTTGATTTTAAAATTCTTTGGTATAATTTTATGAATATTTTGGCATGCTACTTGGCATACTATTGTGACTTGTGCACTCCCTACCTTTACTCATTTAGCACTGCAACTTCATTTCTGCTGAAGATACAGATAAGAAATTCTTATTTGGCCCTCAGAGAACATTGCCATTCTGAGCATGAACGAATCTGAGTCCCACTTCAGCGAGAGCTAAAAGGAGATGGGAATTTTGTAAGATCCCCAAGAGTCGGTCAGGAGCGGACTTGCTTGAGCATCCATTGAAAGAGAGACGGACTCTTTGGAGGGCAGAGGAATGGCCCCTCCTCCATGAAAAAGTATGTCAGCTGGCTGGGACAGGCACGCTCTCTCAAGGGCGACGAGAGTCATGGGTAATCTGAAGACCTTTTAAGCGCCCAGAGAAACGGGCAGCCAGTTCCACAGTAGCTGGAGCCAGGGCACAGTGAGAGAAACCCATGTGACTTCCCCGCAGGAGCTGGACAGGAATGAAAATGGAAGATCAATGTGAGGGATGTTGGATCCCCGTCAGGAAAGACGTGACACACATAGCAAAGGCTGTGAGCAGGAAAAGTGGCGGTTTGCAAATGGGACCCTCCAATCATTATGCTAAGACATCCAATGCCAGGCATGATATTTGCCAATACCTTTGAGCCCTAAAATGGCAAGGTACACATAAATGCATAAGCTATTTTAAATTTTGTTGTTGTTCATTCTCAGCTGAGGATATTTTTTCCATCGATTTTTTTTTCAGACAGAGTGAAAGGGAGGGGGATAGGCAGAGAGAGAGAAACATCGATGTGAGAGAGACACATTGATCGGTTGCCTCCTGCACACATTCCTACCAGGATTGAGCCTGCACCTGAGGTACGTGCCCTTTACCAGAATCAAACCCGAGACCCTTCAGTCGTGGGCTGATGCTCTAACCACTGAACAAACCTGCCAGGGCAGCATTACCTATTTTAAAAGGACATTCTCAGTAAAGACAACACACAAGAATACTAAAAGCTGACTCAAAGAGAAAAATCCAGAATCTAGGAAATTTAAAAAGCAATGTCCCAGCTGAAAACAATATATTTCAAGTACATGATGTGAAGGGGAATCAGAATATATCATGATGTCATTGCCTGCCTAGGACATTGCCTTTTCCAGTGAGAGTTTGCTCATAAATCACTCACAGAGATTTTTTAAATTACAGATGTGGATGGGAGATTAAGCATTTCTCCGACGAGCTGCCTCCAGCAGGCTTAGCATGGCTGATATTCATACATGTGCCCCAGAGAGTAAAACAGCCAATGCAAGAAAATGTTGGAGAAATTGTTTACAACTCTTAAAGTGATTCATTGTTGTTTTCATCAAATATGTATTTTATGATGAGTTTTTAGAACAGAGCGAAGTTATTTGAGGGGTAAAGTCTTGGAGGAGGCAGGGGGATGGATTCCAGGAAGTCACAGAAAAGCCATTGTTACCCTTGGAAAGAGAGAGAGATACATCTTTCTCAAGTCAAAGTATAGGAAAAGAAAGACAAAGAGGTCTCAAAGCAATTTTGGAGGGTAAAAGAAGATATTAGAGAAAGTTTAACCAAGTTCCCTCAGTAAAACAGGAAGTGAAAACTCCTAGTGGATTTAGGGCAACAATTCACTATCTGGGTTTCGAGTAGAGGTCCTGGAGGCTTGATTTACGGAATAGTTACTATTTGTATTTGCCACCATTTATAATTAGTAGATTGCAAAAGATTGAAGAAGTTCGTTTGCTTGAACTAAGTTAAGCAATCTTGTTTACATTACTATTTTTATTAGTGAATCTCTAATTCTCAATTGATCTAATTGCAAACTTCTCACCTAAAATCCTGAGGCAATTAAGGACCAAATACACTTGCGTAGTGGGTGCACTTGTGAATGGTATTTGCATTTATACACTAAATAAGGAAGAAAAGGTATTAGAGAGGTCAGAGTAAAATTTAGAGAATCATGTAACTGTGATCCGGTATTTTCTCAAGTGAGGCAGCCACCAGAACTGTATCTTGCTGCTTAAAATCAAGGTGTAATTTGTAAGTGCTTTTGGAGAAAATACTGATCTATTCTTAAGAGACACTAAAGCACATCATAAATACAAAAGTCATGCTATTAATTGCCCATCACCCATCAAGAAGGAGTTTATTTCAATTAGGCTAAGGAAATGCATTTCATGGTAGACTATGTCAAAGCAAAGACTATGGGGTAAGAGTTTGAGTTATACTGTTAGTTCAGATAGCAAACAATTAGTCACATGATACTTTTTCTAGTATGATAACCGTCTTCTAAAATTGGCAAGTGGATGTGATTGTATTAAATAAATTTCATCTCTAATGTTCAAAATATAGATTTTAAAATCACCTTGCCTTTCTAAATTCACAAGTGAATCTGCTGTTAGAAAACCTGAGACAATGTTCACCTGGGTAAAGACATGCTACTTTAAAGGAAAATGTTAGTTCAGCTTCTTATTCAACTCAGGTATTACTGTACAACCAGGGCTGACTTATAACATTAACCTCAGGAAGGAAATTGGTTGTTTTTCTAAACTTTGGTCTGCAAGTTAAACAGAATTTCAGGCTCTTGACCCCAGAGTGACCAATGGACAAGGGGACACAGCAAGCTCCTAAAAATGTGTCACAAAACTCTGTAATGTGTTTACTTAAGAAAGCACTGGTCAAATGAAGCATCTGTCTCTTAATGAAATCATGTTTTTATTTTACCTAATTTTCCAGCTGCGATTATTAAGGTGCAAGAAGGTCATGCCAAGGGGTTGAAAAGTGAGTCAATAGCTCAAATGGGATCAGAATCTAGAATCCTTGAAGAAGATATCCAGGAGCTCCAATAGCAGGAGAGCTCATGTGCATTCAAA